AGGTGGTGGACAAGAAATGGCAAGCATATCTACGCTGGAGAAAGGACTTGCTGTAAGTCTTCCGACCTCTGTCTTATCTAACAGACTAAAATGAAGGCGTAAGTTAATGATACCTGTATTCCAAATCTTTGGAGTATTTATTTATGCTTTGGTATGTAATTTTTCCGCAGACAACATAATTTCTTGATTGAATTGTAAAAGTTGGTTTTATTTACGACGGAAGTATATAAGGGGATATCGATGGTGACTAATATGCTTTCTGCCTGTTTATAGACATTTGGGCTAGCTTATACGAGTCTTCGAATCAGAAGTCTCCATGCTCTTACTAAACTACTCAGCCTCACTGGGTATGTGTAAGGACATGTATTGCGCAGGAGAAGGCGCACAGAATGTGTCGACTAATGTAGGCGTTAGCAATTACTGTGCATAGCTACTGTTTATTTTCCCTCTACCCAACTCATTTTAGACAGAATGGGCAGGATGACTAAGATTAAAGAAAAGAGACCCGGGAAACCTTCGAACCAAGGTTTCAAAACATCCAAATCTGAATTCCATAGTGTCTATCAGCTTAGCCGAAGGCATTCTCCGACGACTCTCTCCAATTACAGAAATGATTTCCCTCCAGCTGCAGATTCTCTTACGAATATCGTCACATTATCCGTGCGGAATCAGGTGAATTAATGTATGTTTTCAGCGAGCTGGAATATGTATCCTGGTAGGCGTTTGTAATGCCTTCAAGTCTAGATCACCTTTCAAGTACTGTCGCTGGCCTGTCTCATGAAATGTTGGCCCAAATTCTGAAACGTATATTTATTTGGAAAGCATCACTTAGGCGAGGTTGTAATATAAATTACAATTCAGCATGAGGTTGTTTTTTCTCCAGGTCAAATAAATGCGCATTTAGTAAACATTTTTCGCATTGCTTTTCCATGCATTTAGAAATCGTAACATCTTTTTGGAAAACTTGCACGAAACACTCTTTCTTATACTCTTCTGTTAGCGAATCTGGTCTTCTTCACATTTTATATTTTAAAAAGGGTGCATTTAAGTTTTGTAAATTGAGTTGAACGCCTGAATAATTTGGAATCTGACTTGCAGCTTAAAGTTCCCAAACTTCATGCTGCGTACTTACCGCAAATCAAAATGACACTATTTACTACGCTATCAGGAAGACACCATACAGGATCATACTTTGCTGTATCATGTCGTATACCTCACGAGTTACACTGATAAACGCACAGATATGCTGATATATGAATAAAAATTTTACGTTTCTTGAAAAATTCTACATTTACAAGTTTTTTTAGGTTGCGAATATTCTCATTGAAAAATTCGAGATAAAATTTGGCAATTACATGTCTACTTGCAATTAATTCTCTTCACACCCACACATTTTTACTGTTATTGAAAAAATTAATGAAAATATTGGGCGAGATAAAAAAGTTACAGTGAATATCAGGCGGGATTGGGAATATTGGGAAAGGTAATTATATTCGGACGGCGGACATGGCGACTTTGGCCTATGGCAAAGGCGGAACCTGTATGAAATTCTTCTGCCTTGCGTAACTTGATTGCAGCAGCCTCGGTCGTAGCGGTGCCCCCCATCCGACCTGAGCCTGACGGAAGTTTTGTTTCTCATTCCCCAAGCGCTAGTTATAGCATAATTTTCCATTTGCCAGTATATTATTCTTATTATTTTCAATAAAAATAGAAGTTCACAGGCCTGAAGAGAGAACCCCCACATACTTGGGGATTTTGTGTAAATTTCCAGGGAACATAATGCTAATGTTAGTGCCAGGGTTGAGCTAGGTTTAGTATAAGCGTCACGACAAGAATAAAGGTAAGGGACTCAGTTCAGTTTAGGTTTACGGTTGGGGTGAAGTCTTACGTTAGGGTTTGGACACGGGACGAGTGGAAGTTCCTATCCCCGAAAATTAACAATATGCGTTTTCTAAACCGAAGAACATGCTTGCTTTATGTATAAGATTAAAAGAAAAAAAGAAGTAGCCGTACAAATAAGAATAGTTTTGTACATAATAATCACAAAACATTGGCTAATATGCTAGAGAACCAGCAATCGATGGGAAATATTAACACTATAGCAGTAGCACCTTTCAGCCGAGCGTAGTTCCGTCAGACGAACAGAAAGAATGCATTTCTGCCATACTGAAACATCATGGAATAGTGTTACACGATAGTCACAATTGCAACTCTACATTAACTTACAACTTTATGTCAGTCTGCTCGATAAGACAGAGGTAGGAAGCTGATATGGAATTTCGGCTTAAGATCAAGAAATGCGCCAGCTAATGCATACATGGACTCACATGATAAGCCACACAGCTGCCTACCATATCAACCGGAGTCCCTCCAACTGCTGTCAGTGCATTCCTCTCATCCAACTCTTCTGCAATGCATAGGTTCATCTGCCTA